GGATCTAACTACAAGAAGCCGTCTCCTTCGCCCCCGGTCGCTGTTCCGTTGCCTTTGGGGTATCGGAAGACGCCGTCTCCGGCGACCGTTGTGACGGCTGTGGCGCTGCCGCAGAAGCGGTCTGCGTCGTCTGCGGCGGTCGACGAGGGTTTCTTCAGGATGAATTACTCGGCTGTGGCTGCGGCGGCAGCGGCAGGGGCCGAGGATGATGACGACGAGGACGAGGATGAGGACGACGAGGTGAACTATGAGGTTGATGAGGAGGTTGAGATGGAGAGGGAGAGAGATAGCGGAGGCGAGATTGGAGGTGGAGGAGGAGGAGAAGGGTTGAAGAGATTGGCGAGAGCGATTGAGAGGTTTGGGGACGTGTATCAGAGAGTGGAGGCGGAGAAGTTGAGGCAGATGGTGGAGTTAGAGAAGCAGAGGATGCAATTCGCCAATGATTTGGAGGTGCAGAGGATGAATATGTTCATGGACACGCAGGTCCAGCTCGAGCGGATCAAGCATGGCAAGCGATCGGGCTCTAATGGTGAGGCAAATCTTTCCTTTTTCTTGTGTGTGTTTGGTTTGAGTTTGTAAAATATATTCACTTGAAATGATTGGATAGAGTTGTGGTTTGATGGATGCTTTTATGTCTTTGTGATCTGGAGTTTTTGGTTTGTGCTTGTATAATCTTTTGGCTTAAATTGATTGGATGGTCTGAAAGATGTTTTATTGTTTGTGGTAGGAAAGGGAATCCCTACTTAATTGTTTGAAAAAGCTGTTGTGGAGATTCTTGATATACCTTAGGTTTGAAGCATCTGTTAATTCTGGAGATCCAAACTCACCCCACCCTGATTGAGAAATTAAAATTAGGGTTCTTAATTGGAACTCTGAACTATGCTTTGGCAATGTAGCAAAATCAATCATTGAAGTTGTATTGCATACGTTAATTGGAAACTATTTGCTTGTCTCCACTGCCAAAATTTCAGCTCCCTGTTCGTATTGGTTATAAGCTATAGCACGAAGGCCATCGCTATTGTGTGATTCCTAGACTTTTATGCATTT